TCCACTTTGATTAAGGGCTCTTTTCATTTGACCTCATTTTCGGAGGACACCTAATTCACTCCCGTCAATGCTCTTGCTGGAACCTGCCTGGGCGCTCCTGATAGCACAGGGGTATTAATTCATGATAGTGGGTAATTTCCCTTTGCTCAGAGGGTCCTGTTTATTGGCCGGGGCCTAATGCATCGGCCTGCCGGGGCACTGCCGGTCGTTTAGAGACACACCACGGTCTTGAGCTTTTTTTGCTTGCTCTGAGGACCCTATACTTATTGGCATGATCCTGTTTGTTCGCCTCCTGCGGCACCTATGATCGCTCAGGTTTCGTCCCTATTGGCATTGAGGCCTTGGCCTTAGAGCAGCATTCGAATATGTGCCGATGAATTTTTGCGTGTAACTGTCGAACGTAATTTTACGTGCCGCCAACCTCGTATGTTTCATTTCGTTTGGCTATTGAGATTGTGGCTTATATACTTGTGCATCACGTTCTTAACATATTTTGCATGCTAGGATATTGTACACTATTTCTGTAACAAAGGAAAATTTATTCATTAGTCATTAGTCATCAGCTGATTACATCGCCAAGCCGGCTATCCGTTAATAAGCTAGAAATGAAGTTCGTTCTTGGTTTTGATGGCATCTACCAGCCAGCTTGAGTTTGCTTTGTCTGTCTTCCCGAAACAGCTAGCTTCAAAATCACAGGGTTTAACATGATCTGTAGAAAATGAGTGGGCTCCATATAGATGCATACGTAGCTCGCCTAGCTTTATAGGGCTGCCCACAGTAAGATGGGTCCCCGTTTTATTAAAAATATATGCATACACACACACACACACACACACACACACACACACACACACACACACACACACACACACACACACACACACACACACACACACACACACATATATATATATTTATAGGTATGTATGTATGGGTGTATATAACTGTTTTCTTCTGTTCATCTGCAAGTTGAATGGCCGGAATGCAAGGATATTTTGAAAAGAAGCCCAAACTTTGTGGGGCCCAGTGTTTCGTGCCCTCTTCGCCCTGACGAAATCCTGGATCCACCCCTGAGCCTTAGGTTATCAGTTTCAGAATTGCTGATAGAACAGTGTTTCTGTTTTAGATTGGTATCATTTTGCAGTGAATATGTCCAGCAGTGCCTAAGTTTACACTTAACTGCAAAATTGATTTCCGAGTAGTGTCGTCCTTCAGATCAGGACAACACTACCTCATCGCCATCCATGCAGCCAACTTCAAACTACGGAACTACTGGTAACATTTTCTTCAAAACAACACCAGTCGAAAACTGGTATGCGGTTTCATTCACCGTTCCAAAACTGGTGACCGTAGGTCACCATCTTCTCCTTAAAAACCACTTAAACTACTTTAGGGCATTGCAGCAAAGTCCAAACTCGGAAACCGCTTAACTGATCTGTTTGAAACATTTACCAGAGGATAGAGAGGATACGATTTCATCAGCAGTTCTGAAACTGGTGACCTCAGGTCACCATCTTTACCTTTAAAAACCGCATAAACCACTTTAGGGCATTGCAGCGAAGTCCAAACTCGAAAACCGCTCAACCGTTCGCCTTCTGAATAGGAAGTGTTTGCCGCGGGAGCGCCGCTTTCAAGGAGGCATCATCATTATGTGGTCCTCGGTATCTACGCCAGAGCTGACACGAATTTGACCGCCCAACCACTTCGTCTCCGTCGTGAAGCAATCTGAGCTCGATCTCGGTGACGACAGTTCGACCCACTGGTGTCCTGCGCTCCCCGTAGAGACCGACAAGGAAAGCTGTGGCCCGGTGCTCACAAAACATTTTCCAGTAAATGGTGGAAACGCGGGCCATCTGAGTACCGTAACATCAGTGGATGAACGGTCCACACAGTGCGGAGCGTCGCCTGAACAGCTAGATTTCCCAGAAACTGATGACCTTATAAGCCTTTCGGGCGCAGTGGTGACGATGAACACGGAGCATGGCCTATCACCTCGATGTATCCCAGTTTGCAGCTTGGGCCCTTCGAGCCCCGCGGCGCCATCTACAGTAACACATGTCGCAGAGTCCGGCCGATCGCCTCAGCACGCGACCACTATTAGTGAGGACGCCGAAGATAATTTTGAAACAAAAAGCCGGGGCCCCCGTTGAGATAAGCATGTTTTAAAAGCCACGCAGACTATTTTGGCGCGAGCTTGTCCCGACCGTTAGATAGCCTTGGTCCTGACATTTCGAATGAGACCGCTGTCGAGAATCACAGTATTGTTGACGGTGTTCCTCAGAACGCCCGAAGCTCGGGCACTTGTCAGGTCCCGTGGACTGAACGCAATGATTTGGACGTAGTGAGTGACAGCCTGGGGGTATGGCGTGAGTATAGCCAACACACGGCACTATACTATATAGACAAAAATAATTTAGACATCAGAAGCTGTTAACTTGATAAAACACGTTATCTTATTCGCAACAAACGGTTCAAAATACAATTGACAGTGCAGCGAGACACAGTCGTAGAGACAACACGAAAGCTTTTTGTTTTAAATGCAGATCCGTGTGTCCAAAAAATGATTGTTTTTTACCAAGAGCGCCGAAAACAAGGAAAACCACAATAGGTGTATATGTATATATATATATATATATATATATATATACAGTTCGCAGGTAGTCTTCGGAAAGACTTTCTCCCCAAGCTCGCATGGAAACGCAGCGAAACTGACAAATCCACATTTAAAGACATTACGTTTTGCACTTAGAACATTGGAGGGGCACGCAGAACACCTGGCTGCGAAAGGACTTTACCGTAAAGAAGTGATCGATAAAAGCGAACCTATAGAGCAGCGAGATCTAAAACAGGTGGAAAACCTAAGGCACAAGGTTAAAGGACGGAAAGCAAACCAAGCCTTCTCGTCTGTCAACCTCGGCTTTTCTTATGGAGACCCTTACCTTAAAATGTTGCATCGCTGTATTGCTGATGGCAAAGCAGATTTCCATGGAACACGTTTTCTGCGCGAAGTATCTCTCACAGATAAACCTATCATACTTCTTTACAACGGACATCAGAAAGCTAATGTTGGTAGGTTCTGTTGCAACCCACACAATTATTCCATTTTCAGTGAAGGCACGACACTCAACTTAGGTGACTTTTACGTCACCGTGTTAACTTACGAAAACCTCAGCGTCACCTCAAATGCTACACAGAAGCATTCAACATCGCTAAGTCCAATCATGGTCCATGTGGATTAAGAAAGGGGCACATATTTGGCCTTTGCTTGCAGACTTCGCTAGTTGGTAGATCATAAAAAGTCATTGGCTTCATATGGTAGCGACGATGACAAGGCTTTCCACAGTGCATTTAAAGCATATTTTTCCCACCCTGAACCATATCTCTGCCACATACATTTCAGGCGTAATATTGAGCGTAAGCTTAGTGATATGCTCATCGGGATATCTGAGCAGAATGTCGTTTTAACAGATCTTTTTGACCAAAATGCCGGTTTAATTCATATGACCGATGCCGATTTACATAAGTGTCATGGGTCAAAAGGCAGCAAAGTTTTCGATTGGGTTCAAGAAGTACAAACTTGACAGCTTTAGTAGAGGAATTGTGGGTACAAAATGTTCTACCAACCGCCCTGAGAGTATGAATAATGTCATTTCCGCGGTATGCGGACGGCAGCGTCTCGGCATCTCTCACATCGTTGAGGCGTTACGTGATTTAGTTATGTGCCAGGAGGCCGAAGTGGGCAGAGCTTATGACCACCAAGGATCGCACACAGTCCATAAATCCTATCAACGTCTGCTTATAGCGACCGGTGACAAAATCAGCTTATATCAACGCAAAATCAGACGCGATCATTTCTTTAACCAAGCACTGAGGCCTTTATGCACCAAAATTAGCGAGTCACTGACAATCCCACCTTCAGTGGGACGAAGCCACATCGGCGACCTCTCAAATCCAAGACCCCAGTTTATTATAATAAAGAACCATTCTTCGTAGTTGCAAACTCCCCCAAAAGAAAGAAATGCAAATATTGCAATGGAAAAGTTGATTGGAGAGCGTTACGTGAGCCTCACGACATCGTCCTGTCTCATAAGGAGGATGGGAGTTTCCAAAAGTTGTTGGAGATGTGGTGGTAAAAGTAGCAACTGTTGAAAAGATGACTGGAATGTTTTATCACATTACGAAGGCATGTGTTGCGTCGCAGTTTCCCGATCTCATACGCAAACGTGACCTCATACGAGCTGACGCAGATGTGTTTCCAGTACCAACGGGCGTGCATAAAGAATACACCCTGGAAACGTTGGCAGTCAGAGTTTGACTGTGTGTGTATGCTTTGGTGTTTTCTGTAACTGTACACGCGTGCATGTTGTCAACTTATGTGGTGCATACACGACTTATGTATGCACGACACATTTTGACGCTGATTCAAGAGGAAGAGGAAGACGAAAATCTGAGATCACCGATTTCAGAATCGCTGATGAAACCGCATGCACTCTATCTTCTGGTAAATGTTTCAAGCAGATCCGTTGAGCGATTTCCAAGTTTGGATTTGGCTGCAATGTCTTAAAGTGGTTTATGCGGTTTTTGAAGGTGAAGATGGTGACCTAAGTTCACCAGTGTTAGAACGGCCAATGAAATTGCGTCCTCTGTATTTGCTGGTAAAGGTTCGAAGCAGATCGGTTGAGTGGTTTCCGAGTTTGGATTTGGCTGCGTCGTGGTAAAGTGGTTTAGGCGGGTTTTGAAGGTAAAGATGGTAACATGGAGTCACCAGTTTCAGAACAACTTGTAAACCGCATACTAACTTTCGATTAGTCTAGTTTAAGGAAAATCTGACCATTAGTTTCGTGGTTTGAAGTTGGCTACATAAATGGCGGTGAAGTAGTGTTGTCCTTCAAATCATACCTCCCGCCTTGATTCAAGTTGTACATTATAGCGCACTAAATACATCTTTTGGCGCATTACTCTTCGTTTGTATGCCAAACAAGGCTGTCTAACGATGCCAAGGCCATATGCACAGGAAGCGGGGAAGGCCATGAATTGGTTTTGATGTAAATCGTAGCTCATAATGTGTGTTTCCGCAGGACTGTGAGCTAACCCCATCGTGGTTGTGAATTGACAGTTTTGTTTAATGAAGTTTTTGTATTTGTAGCACCATGGGTAGGTAATTTTACATATTTGTCGTGCTAAAAGTGCTCAACTTTGCATAGTTACAAAGTGCAGATTTCGTCTCTGCATTTTAGTGGCTCAAAAACTGCAGCTGGCACAAAATCTGGCATATCCAAGTCATTTAGTATTTGTGCATTCTTGCATGATGTTTTGTTGATTAGCATCTCCAATGAGTTTTGGGGTAATTGCTTTCCATTTTGCTCTTCTATTAGCAGCCCTCTTTATGTCTTATTCAGAGTGTGCTCAGTTATGTTTTGTAGGAGCCAGCATGCATATTTGGTATCAGCAGGTTCCTGAGTTTGGAACATTGTACTCATGGACCTTGTCATTGTTTGATGGCAAATATAGATGTAAATTGTTTATTCAATAAAAGGCTGAATAGCTGGTCTTGCTTGAAATATATTCCTTACAGCAGGGTACACTGGACTGCCAGCCTACAGATATTGCTTTCCTTTGCCAGGAAAACAAAATATATTTTATTGATGATTCACAAGCACTTGCTGTGGAATAGTTTCAGACAGTGGGTCACAGTGTATTATTACCTATACTTTGCAATGTGTCTATTACTGTGACATACAGGCAATAGTGATCAACATGCATTAACAGAGTGCCTCCCTTTGGGACAGACATTTAAAAAGGAGGCTGGTAAACATGTTTGCTGAGCATCTGGGCTTCTCTGATTTAGAGAGGTATCTTTCCCTAAGTGCTCTGTGGATTTTAGCTGAAGAACTTGTTGTGCCTTCAGCTCTTTAGGTGTCCTTGATATCACATTGAGCAATTGCAGAGAGGGTCACAAAGCAAATTTATGGTGACCCAGTGCATTGGATGGCTGTTGATGCCCTCTTCTCTGCCATAAGTGGGTAGGATGAGTTGTCACTCCTTGTGGGACTAGGAGGTATATCTAGGTCATTCATTGCAACAATGTAAAAATGAGAACAACTTAGGGCCCAGGGTCCAACCCTGTATCATCCAATTTCAAACTAGCAGATGGGCTGATATGCACAAGTAGTGGATTACACAAAACAAAAGCTGGGATGTATTGACATGTATTATGTATACATGGTTATGTACAGTGCAGGTGTGTACCATGTTATGAAAAACACACATGTGGTATGTTTCAGGTCCTGTGTCCACTGAGAGGCAGTCTGGTGTGTCTGCCATGGGTGTAGAGCGGCCAGCCGTGGAGCAGGCCCTGCCAGCGAGGCTGCCCCACATCGTTCCCCGCACCATACCCGGTGGTATGCTGCACGCGGACGCCCGCGGCGCCATGGACTGGTGAGCACGCTCCGCGGTCACACATGTTACTCGTTGGAGGCATCCCAGTCATATCGATAACGCTGTGCAGGCGATTAGGAGCGACTGTGAATGACTATTGTGTGGTGACGTCGCGTAGCCGAGAGCTTCATATCCTCAGCGGCGCGACGCGGGTTGACTCTTTCTGGCCAGGCCAGCCGCTCTTTTGACGGCCTTTTTGTGATCACTGGCTGTAGTTCCGTGTAGTTTACAGGAACAGGTGATGCCAATCTTCATAGGCTGTGCTGGATCGTTTCCGCGCGACAATCGCATGCAGCTTTTTCATACGGCGAGGTCTGTTGTGCAACATGCACATATGTTCACAACGAACGAAAAATTTGCGGTTGACAAAAATCTTTGCAACACGAGTTGCCGCTTGTAGCGGATCCCGGCGGCTTGATCGTCTCAAAACAGAATCAGATCGGGATCGCATCAGAACGGAATCGAATCGGGATCGCCTCAAAACGGGATCGGATCGGGATCGCCTCAGAGTGGAATCGGACCGGGATCGCCTCAGAACGGAATCGGATCGGGATAGTCTCAGAACGGAATCGGATCGGGACCACCTCAGAACGGAATCATTACGACTTGGCTTTGAAAAGAGGGGACAGTCGTGTGAGCGCAACGTATTATGAAATAAATGCGCAATATATCGGCTGATGAAGTCGTGCCTAATGCGTACCTTGGATGCACAATTCTTCAAAGCGCATGTAATTATGTCATCAAAGGCTGATTACACACAACCCCGCGCAAGACAGTATGGCGTATAAATGTCATTATGGTGGGCCAGGGCATGTTCTATCATATACGACCATTTTCCCGCACTTAATCATGAGTTATGGTGGATCCTGAGCATGTCCTTGCATTTGTTGGCATTATTGCACTTCCGGCGCCAGCCACGTCACTCCTGGCGCACGGTGCCAGTGCAGCGGCATGGAGTGGCATGTGCCGGGGCTTGTGGCGCCGCATCTGTGGCGCCAGACCTGGACGCCGCATTTGTGGCGTCAAACCTGGGCGCCGCATTTGTGACGCCAGACCTGGACGCCGCATCTGACCTGTGGCTCGGCCTCGACGCCGCAGGGGCTGGCAGGGGTTGCTGGCCTACGGCTGCAACTACACGGTGGTGGTGGTGGACCCGCTCACCCAGCAGGTGGTGCAGACGCTCGACAAGCACAAGGCGTTCATCACCAAGGTGAGCGGCGGCACGCCGGGCACGGGGTCACCGCCAGAGGGCTCCCGGCCCACAGTCAGCGGTGGTATGAGCCTGGGGCCTGCAGTCACGGTCGTCTGAGCTGGGGGTCTGGCCACAGTCAGCGGTCGTCTGAGCCGGGGGGCCTGCAGTTAGCGGCCCTTTGAGCCGGGGGTCTGGCCACAGTCAGCGGTCTTCTGAGCCGGGGCCAGGCCACAGCCAGCGGTTATCTGAGCCGGGGCCAGGCCACAGTCAGCGGTCTTCTGAGCCGGGGCCAGGCCACAGTCAGCGGTCTTCTGAGCCGGGGCCAGGCCACAGTCAGCGGTCTTCTGAGCCGGGGCCAGGCCACAGTCAGCGACCGCCTGAGTCGGGGGCCCGGACACCCTAGCTGGCGGTGATTGCGGAGCTGTGCGTAAGCTTGTTCGGTTGCCTTGGTATCGTCGCACACGTCCGCTGTGTTCGTTTGTGAATCAGATGGCAACGACAGTGTTGTGCAAGCCCAGGTTCAAGTCCTGTTTATTAGGTCATAATCACAACATGGTTCACATGATCTGCTGCATGCGTATTGTGCGCTTCAAAAGTATTTGAGTGGGAAAGTAGGAGTTGTTGAAAAATATCTTATTATCATCCAGCGTTTAATGTTTTGTTTTTTTAAGAAAATAGGACAATGCTAGTGAAATCTCGTATTTTTAGCCAGCATCCAACTCAAGTGACGGTGCCTGAGACTATCGCTATGTATTTGCTGAACTTTCAGTTGATCCTCTGGCCGTTGCCGAGACCCTCAGAAGCCCGGAGCCCTGCTATTAACACTGATACCTGAAGATAACCAGCAATCTTGCCATGTTTCCTTTCGACGGGTTCTTTGACAGTCCATGTGCTGCTTTTCTCTCCCATAGCCCTGCCCACGGACCGTGCGCGAGGTGTGATGACCACCCGGCGCTCCCTTGGCCACATGCTCATGTCCGCGGACTGTGTGCGGGGTGCGCTGGTCACCGATACGTGATCGCCGACTGACGCCAGCGCTCGCGCCCTCGGCGGCGCAGGTGAAGTGGCAGCGCTCGCAGCTGGACGCGCGCTTCTCGTACCGCGCTGTGCTGGCCACGGCCGACAGCGCCGGCCACATCGTCATCTGGGACGTGCGCGAGGGCTTCTTCACCATGGTGCTGCAGGACGGTGGCCGGCCCATCGCCGGTAGGTGGCCGGGTCGCGCTGCGGGGTGAGGGGGAAGGGGGGGGGGGCAGGCGGTGCCGGCCAGACGCTGCAGCGGCCGATTTCGCTCGCCGCATGGGGTTTTAGATGCGATATGGTAACCGGCGAGTGGGTTTTGGCAGAGAAGTGCGTCGGGGAAACGGCGCCACTCAGCAAATGACTCTCTGGTATGCATTTTTTGGATCGATGTTTGGTTAGGCCCCGCTGGAGTGATTTGTAACATGACATGGGTGTGGTCTAGACAATGTTTCAAGTCATGAGTACTTCGATCGTCTTGGACGGACGATGCTTACGACACCGTGGTTGCTTCGAAGGGACCGTCAGATGGTGTCCCGAACAAGAGAATGGCCGCGTGCAGCGAACGGTTTCAGGAGTTTAGAGTTCTTACGCTGAGTTATGGACCTGGTTAAACGACATGAGTTTTATTCCCGTTGATCATATGTTGGCAAAGTACGGCTCGCAACGTTGAGCACTGCTAATCAGCATGACCAATGTTTTGGGCTATGACATCGTTTAACCAGTACCTCCTGCTGTGTCAGAGTGTCAGAGGTCGATACTCAGTATGAGACTTTAGAGCCGACGTCGAAAAGCCAGGAGCTGGAGGCCTTTCCTGCTCATATCGAGGGACTGGTTTTGACGGGTGCATGGTGTGCCGCCCCAGACATGAGCTGGGTGTACCACGTGGACGGGTGCGGTCACCTCCTGCTCGCCGCCCACCCGCCGAGCTCGCTGGTCCTCTGGGACACCGACAGCGGCAACAAGATCTGGAAGAAGACCTTCACCGAGCAGATCGTCAGCTTCGACTTCGACCCCTTCGACCCCAGGAAGCTGGCCTGTGAGTGTGCTTCTCGGGCCGTTATGAGCTACTGTGCTAAGTGGAGGGGTTTGTCACTGCTTTCCGTGTTTTTGCTTTCATTGTTCAGCATGTTTGAGCATTTGCAGTCAGGTCTTTATCTTCCGAAAACGTCGCTAGGCATGCAGTTTGAATATGAGTATCGAGGATGCAGAGGGCTGTGGTGTCATTTCGTCATTGTCAGCGTTTCGCCACAAGCCCGTTCTGGCCTCCGGGTATGTGGTTCTTGGCTTGGCTTGCCAGTCTGCTGTGTATGTTCATATTTAAGCAGCTTAAACAGGGTGACTTTTGCATTGTTACGCGCTGTCCCCTGTCGATGGCTTTAACATTTTCTCAGTGGTAAATGGCAAAGCCATTGGTGTAAGTCGCCTTTGTCTCATTCTGAACAGCGCGGAGTTCAATATGTGCTCCGTGTTTTTGCCACCTCAAATTCCTGTAACAGGTATATACTTTTTGATCCGTCAGTGTTGTGGCTAAAAACGCCACTCGCTGGGTGGTGTTGCCCTGTGTCGGTCGGTGTGCGTGCCGCGTGCGTATCTCTGGTGTGGCCGCGTCTCCTCGCGCGTCGGTTCGGCTCTGCGAGCCACACAGTGCGGGGTTGAAGTTTCCCTCGTGTGGCCTGTCCCCCGTGTCGGTCGGTGTGGCGCCGCTCGACCACGCCCCGCGCCTTTCAGTGTTGTGTCCCAACGCGCTGCTGTTCGTGGACGACTTCACGGTGGGCAAGTGTCCGGCCGGCAGCGGCAGCAAATTCTACCTGTCGTCCATCAGAGGCTCGCCCGGCTCCTCCACACCGGGTACGGCGGCGTCACAGCCTGCGACAGTGCGCTAAAGGGGCTGTCACACGTCCTGCGTCTCTAAGCGTTTGATTTGACCTTAAGGGGTCATGAACGTCGAAAACTAGTTACACTGCGCAGCACTGTGGGTGCTTTATGGCCAGGGTAGTCGGCGCACCCTAAAGCTCAAATCATCGTCATCGCCGTCACTTCAGAGCAGTTCAGGAGGGGTTTTTGCATCACTCAAGTATGAAGTATTCAGTATGGTACATATATATATATATATATATATATATATATATATATATATATATATATATATATATATATATCTGTGTGTGTGTGTGTGTGTGTTATATATAGTTATATATATATTATAGTATATATATATGTTATATATATATATATATATATATATATATATATATATATATATATATATATATATATCTGTGTGTGTGTGTGTGTGTGTTATATATAGTTATATATATATATATATATATATTATAATATTATAGTATATATATATGTTATATATATATATATATATATATATATATATATATATATATATATATATATATATATATATGCGTATCACTCAAGTATCAAGAAGTTGCGTCATTTAAGGCGTTAAAGTCCCGTGGATATCGTTTTTTACGGAATTACGAGAGTAATGTTTAACGGCACCTGAACCCGGTGGGGACGCAATTTATGCCCATGCAACAGGGTGCTGCTCAGGACGAGATAAGAAGGCAACCCGTTTATGATCTTGCCTGGGCCGATTAAAGGTGGGAGTGTTTTCCCCTCGGAGCACTGATCATACCTAATGTTACTATCATCCCGCAAACCTATAAAGTTGCACAAATGTCGAGTTATGAGATGACAGCGTTGCTGTGACTAATGCCGGTACGGCACGTCATGGATGTGGTTTTCAGCTGTTGCAAGGCCAGCAGTGACGTCACTGGAACCGGATGTCCGTATACAACTCCTCCGTGGAGAGTTGGTGACCCCTGTGTCGTAGATTGTGGAAGTTTAAGAGAAGAGAACACGTGATAAGACCTTAACAAAACGAATGGCAGCTGTGTTGGGCTACGTCCGTCCGCTCTCTTCTCGCCTTTGAAGATCATGACAGAGCTCCGTGAGAGCACCTCGTGGCCAAGCGCTGGATAAATGTATACACGCCGCATTGCTTCTGTAACCCTCGCCACCGGTGCTAGTACGGACAGATTTTTCCAGGGTTTCCCCTGGCACCTCCACATTCAAAAAATCCCTCTAAATTGTTGGGGAATCCCGGGATTATTTACGTCATAGTGTTGAAGACCGGTGTGCCGTATGCATGCTAACGGAAATGACCTGGAAAGAGGCATTCCCTTAAAAGTATGTACCAACGCCAGTCAGTTGCTGACTTATGTGTGAAATTTCGCGTTTCGATTGCTTAGTTACCTGAAATTTTATGAACTGCAGGCATTAGCGACGAGATGGTTGTCGCCGTGTTTGCACCGACTCGGCTGGCCGACAGTTGATGGCCCTGTCTCCGAGCACCACAGGGCCGCAGTGTGCCATTCGTGGCACCGTGCGCACGCTAACACTGCGTTATCGGCCCGTCTAGTGGCGTGGCGGTCCGGGACGGGCGTGACGGCGGCGCCGGCCCGAGGCGGCCGCCCCGGGCGCGCGCGGGGTCCGCTCGGCGGTGGGCACGGGGCTCACTGGGCGGCGTCTGTGTGCGGGCGGACCCCGGCTGTCACCAATGAGTTCGCCAGCGGGCCGGCTGTCGAAGAGCGGCGCGCTCATGGCGGAGAGGCCGGGTATAACGTCCGTCCTAGTTGTCTCTGTGTGGATTGGATAGCGTGTTTTTCATGCGGTGCCGTCACCTGTGGTGATGGAACGACATGCTTTATGGTGCCGGTGGTCTGCGTTGAGACACATACAGAGCGGATATTTTTACTAGTTGTGTGTGGATACTGTGCTGGCTCCATTATTGACTTAACGTGACGCATGTATGTCTCTTTCGTCACCTGCGCGTATTTTGATTGCAGTGACTCCAACGTACGAAGAGAAGTCCACCCGTGACAAGCTGAAGAAGAAGGTTCTGGATCTCGTGACGGGCGACCTTCCCGGGTACGTCGGCCAGCGCGTGAACTCATGTTCGTGTTGTCTCCCGTTGGCATGTTCCCTGTTGGCATGTTCTCACGCTGTGGTGGTGGCGTGCAGAGGTATTGTTGTTTTCACCGTTCTGGTATGGCATTTTACACCATTGATTACTCAGCTGCATGCTGCTCGGTCACTCTTAACACCCGCCATGAATGGCTGACCAGTACTACCGGGCTGTACTGGATAGATTCGGGGCTACAGAAAGTGGTGTTTCAGTTTAAAGTTAGGACAGCTAGGGCGTAGTCCCACGATTTTTTATGCACATTTATTGGTACCAGGGGTTCGCTTGTGAAGATATATTAGTGATGTGAAGTTTTAGAGCGCCTTTGAGTCCGTGGGGTGAGCACGCAATGATCATACTTTCGTTCTTGACGGCGTCTTATTGTGTAACGTTATAGCCAAAGCAAAGGCACTGAAGCGGCTTGATTTCATTTGTCACAGATATTATGATGTAATGCAGATATTATCCCAAGAAAATCTGGAACAAATGAAATCACAAATTTCTACCGAAATGACAGCGAACCCGCGGCACAAGCAAGCAATAAACCAATCGCAAAAAACGCCCCCCCCCCCGCACGGTTTCGAACAGGCAACCTCTGTCACAATCGGATGGGACGATCGCATGGTGTTTTCCTCTGCACTATCGGGGCAACACTGTATCGTGTGAATTTTACAGCGCGACAGCGAGGCGCGTTAGTCCGTCGCATGGCCCCACTTACTACATGAAACCTGACGGCCAGTCAGAATAACACCGAGCAACGCTAACGGAAACGGCGCCTTGGAAAATAATCGGCAGCAGCTACGCAGCACAACGTCCACGCTGTACGGTTCAGGACATTGCCGTCTGCTGTGGGATGTTGCTCGGGAGCCGTTCGACCCCCTGTGCAGCCTGTTGCCGTTGAGGTGGCTGCCGTCCCGTACGAACCGAGGGCGGCGCTTGGGCACGTCGGCCAGCACGGCACATGGACGGCGCCGCGCTGGGTCCAGTCGTCCGGAGGCCCGGAGCCGCTACGGCATCCTCGAGATGATGTTCTGACTTCGCGCGTGCGTGCACTCCCACTTTGATCCTGCGTCCGCTCGCGAACGCAAAACAGTACCCGGGGTGACCACTTCCTGGGCCACGATAGGGAAGGGCGTCACGTACGGTGGCGACCGCGCTGTACGGTAGCGGAGAGACGCTCCACCCTGCGCCACACACCGTGCCGAGGAGGAGCGTCGTTGCCACCGAGTCACGCAAAGAAAGCCCCGCAACTTGGCCTGTCCATCGAAGGTGCCGCCCTCCTGACGTGGCGAGTGGCCCCGGCGCACAGGCAGAGGTAGCCGCGTCGGTGGTACAGCGCCCAGTCCGGCGTGGTATGCCGGGGAGCAGCCGGGCGGGCAGGACGTGTTAGTTGCCGCCCTGCGACACCACCCGCACGACACGGTCGTTCGGACAGGGTCGATGTGTCAGGGAGGCTAGGAGGAAGAGGACAGGGTGGGATGGAGGACAGCTTCTAGGAGAACGGATGACCCGTCTTACTTCGACAGATCTATCATTCACCTCAATGAACCTACGTGGAACGAATCAGTGTAAAATCCGTCTGTCCCCCCCCCCCCCCCCCCCACACACCTTACATAGATTCAGCAATCGCAGCGGTGTGGCTGCATGAACTATGATGATGAAAAAAGTGTACAGAGAAGCTTAGCTGGCGGATTTCGTCTTGGTTATAGGCAATAACTGGATGGAAATTATGTACTTCAATCTCAGTTTCCGCCATATGGCCGCTCGTTGTTCGACGTACATGGCAATGTAGCCTCTACTGCTCGTATTTTCAAGTTTAGACAGTCGTGATTTCCCGAAAGTGGGCATAAACTTTCCAGGAGGCGTATATTAAACTGTGCAGACGGTACAAACGGCACTAAGTCCTATTCAGCGTGGAATTGAGGTGCAAGTTTAGGTCCGTTAAAACTGTACCCACGACCTCGTAATGGTAGGCTCGACTTCGCACTAAATCTGACGTCGTAAGGGAGTAAGCCGCAAGCGATCGTCACCGAGTGTCTGTCGTTGGTACCGCTCAATAGCGCGCTGGACGAGGAGCGTGACCCGCCGGGTGACCCGACCCCACGCTGCCGCCTCAGACCGGAGGAGACGGGCGCCAGTCTTCAGGACTGCCTGCAGATGTGCTACCACCGCGCGCGACGTCACCTGCTGCTGCTGCTGTACGGCCGCGAGCTGCTGCTGCTGGACCTGCAGCTGCTGCAGGCCGTGGCCACCGTACCGGCTGACAAATCCGGCTCGCCCTTCACGCAGGTGAGCCGCGCCCGGCCGTGCTGCGACCACGTGTGTACTTCCCGCCGGGTTTTGGTCACTTAAGGGGATTTGGTAGTCTGGGCTAGGTTTGCGACTATCTTGGGAAGTCCGGGTTTCCCCGCGGTGGCAGTGTGGCGCCGTCACCGTCTGGCGGGACGTGGCGATCTTCAGGTAAACAGAAGTTCGACTCATCTGATCGTTTTCCGTCGAAATGCTGGGGAAGACCTCTGCCAGTTCAGATTTGGCCGGAGTTTGCGTCGCATCGGGGACCCACCACGCCTTATTCGTCGTGTTCAAAGGGATGACAGTCAAGTAGTTGCCAAATGATAAACAAAAATAGACTAAAAGAGCAGCAAATTTTCGGTTTATTTCTTCACCTCAATTCACCAGCATGTAAAATCCAGTTGGTCAAGAGATGATTGGCATCTTGTCTCCGATAAGACTCAGGCTGTTAGTGTCGGAATTTTTGGCGGGTGTGACAGGCCGTGCTGTCCATTATGTGGGGGCTTGGGAGCACTTTTCCACTGACGACGGCTGCGGTCGTGCTGGTAAAGTAAAGAGGAGCGGGGAATGATGTGATGCAAGGCGGTTGCAAATGGTGACTTCAGATGTTAGGTAAGGGGATAAAAAGCCAGTGATCTGCGGCCAGCCGGACGGGAGACCACATACCTGTGTAACATCGTTTTGAGCTGCTGTGGTGGATTTTTGCTGTAGATACTGCACATCCTTGTATTTTCAACAGTGTCATCGTGAACACAGGTTGAGATAGGTTGAATATAAAATTAGATGACAGCGAAAAAAAGATGGATCGTTGCGAAAAAATTAGAAATATCAGATATGTATCATTGTTTACTTCTCTCTCAGAATTAAAGATTAATCGGAAATCGATGAGATAGCCCCGGCCATGGAATCGCCAATAGTAACCTGAAACTGGAAAATTCAGCTCAAATTCGTTTCTTCGTGACCTGTCCGCTTTTGTTTCCGTCCGTTTTTGACAGTGTTTTACATCAAGATGGTTCAGTTTTCTGGAACGCTTCCTCACGCCCCAAGAAGTAAAGCTGATTCGTAACGCGGCCGCTCAGTGTACAGACGGTGGGGCGGGCGCAGTGCTGGGCCCGACTGACCTGGGTAGGTCAGCTGGTGGCTGGCACGGGCGGCCTTATAGCGCGGCTCGGGCTCAAGATAGGTCAGCTGGTGGCTGGCACGGGCGGCCTTATAGCGCGGCTCGGGCGTTAGATAGGCCAGCTGATAGCTGACACGGGCGGCTTTATAGCGCGGCTCGGGCTGGGCGAAGGCATTTCAGGTCGCGTATTGGATCCTTTCGCACTTCTGTTAGGCTCCAGTTTATTGAAATGGCACAATGTGTATTGATTCAAGACGTGTGCAGCAGGCTCCCTTCACCGAGTACTCTGACCTCGAAGCCACTCCTCCACACCGTTTAGAATGAACTTTGAACGCAGGTCAACACTTTGTTGCTGTAACTGAAACAGACATTTGCTGATTAAGATTTGGCAACGCCATCTTGGGATCAACATCGCTAAAGACCCAATTGCTACTACGGTAACGCCATCTTGGGAATCATTTGCATTGTGCATTTCATACGCACCTTCCATATATATGCCATTATATATATATATATATATATATATATATATATATATATATATATGTGTGTGTGTGTGTGTGTGTGTGTATATATATATATAATATGGTATAATAGAAAATGTATGATGCAGTGTTGCGTATAAAGCGTATATATATGTTGTGTGTGTGTATACCCCAGTATGTATCGCTATTATCATGTACTAGCATCATTTATCTCTCGCTTGATGCCACCCGGAATGTGTGGGACTGAACAGACTTACGCAACTCACCTGAGCAGCGTTACCACGAGCGTGTGGTACTGTCCCGCCGTCCGGCATATTTTCTGTCTCCGGAAGCATCTCATTTCCATATTTCCGACTGGTCTCCCCGGAAGCCGGCAGGCTCCTCAGCATGACGTGCCGTCGTGCCGTGCGGGGCCTCCCGAGGTGGGCGGCTGTCCTCGGCCACGGCGCAGTTATGTGCAGCTACTGTACGGGCCTCGCTGTCGGCCAGGTGCTGTCGTGCTGCCGCTCGGACGCACTGTTCACGGTCTGCGAGAGCGGCGCGGCCACGCTGCGCGCACGGCCGGCCGGCGCCGAGCTGGCGTACGAGCCGCGCGGCCAGACGGACGCGCCGCGCCTGACGCGTCACCTGCGGCTGGCGGCGGCCGCGCTCGAGCCGGCCTCCGAGGCGCGCCTGGCCGTGCTGCTCTCCGACGGCCGCACGCTGACGTGGGAGCTGGCCGGCGGCTGGCGGCCGGCGGCGCGCCTGCTGCTCTCCGGCCTGCTGACGCCCGGCCCGCCGGCGCCCACCGTCATCCGTATGTGCCCGCCGCTCACCACCAAAAACTGGCAGGTCAGTCGGCGCCCGGGGGTCAGTCGGCGCCCTGCGCGGCGGACGACGGACAGGTAGGGCAGACAGCGCCACTGTCCGAACGCAAATGACGTCAGGGTGTCGGCTTACCGCCCGAGACTGGCAGCCATCTTCCGGTGGCCTGGCAGCCATCTTCCGGTGGCCTGGCAGCCAGCTTCCGGTGGCCTGGCAGCCAGCCTCCGGTGGCCGCTCTGGTGGCGGTCGCGTGCGGCCGTTCGAGGTAACACGTCGCGTGGAAACTGACGCCGGTGCGCGAAATCTGTGACGTTTAGTCGAGGTTTGCTCCAGGATGCGCTGAACTGAATGCAGAACCGTGAGATGTGCGATAACGTATTAAACAGGCGTCAGTCACCAGGAAGATTCCTGCAATGGCCAGTTGCACACATGTTTTCGGAAATCGGCGCGAATCTTATTATTTACCTCGTTGAAAACCGCGCTTTTTACACGCAGAAATTATTTAACCATAGACATATTTTTGTCCGTGATTTAAAAATATACGGGTACTCTCTTTGGATAAGAAAATGTTCTTAGACCTAAAAGGCAAGGTTAGGTCTACGCGCGCGTGCTTTGCCGCGGGGAGATCATGTTGTTTACCTTCGTTGTTTTATTGGGTTATAGCGTTTAGATAGCCTTGGGTTATAGCAACGCAAATTTAATCCGCACATCAGCCTGATTTCCGCGTCATGTTTGACGCGTATCCCTAAACGCGTGCACGCCGCGCCCGGACAGGGAGGCAAGTTGACTTCCTTTTTGGTTTTCCAGAATACCTCCCGAACGGTACGGTATAGCGACGTCAACTTTTATGTAGCTGTATGTAGTTAAATAACCAATCATGTGGTGCAAAATATAAGGTATATTTGTAAAGATCACTGGCCTGCAGCGGTTCAAAGTCAGGTCGTGGCTGCCTTCAAATCATTTCTCAGCGCACCTTTCGAGCTGAAGCAACAACAAAGTTTTAGACGAAGTCGTGGAGCACATTCCACCGGCCACCCGGGCGTGTGTTGGCATCGAACGGGAGTGGTTAGGTGCGGACGCTCGTGCGATACCCTCGAGCTTGTGATAACGCCTCAGACGGCCGCGAGACCGCCACACATCGAGTTGTACAACACCGGTCCGTGGCAACGGCATGTTGCTCATAGGAGTCGTAATCCAAAACGAACATGACATCGACGATGCCCGGGATCGCGCTGAAGTGTGGTGACGTGGCTACAGTGCTGGAGGAGGTGTGGCGCCTATTTGAACCGGCGGACTGCCATGGGCAACACCACGTCTGCACGCGCTCGTAACACTCCTGCATTTGGAGATGGGTGCGCCAGAGCTTTGCCAAACTTGGGTATAGTAAAGGGATAGTCCCACCTTTGGGCTGTCTAGAAAGACCACCGATAAGGACGGTTGGGACCAACAATCGCTTGTCATGCAACCCAAACGCGCACTGATATCGTGCAGGCCAAACATTGGCAAAGAAAGCGGTGGTATGTACGTTCTAAGTGCTTGGTCCGTTAGGAGTACAAGGTACATCGTGTATATGCGTGGACAGTTCTTTATTTAAAACGGCAGATTTAGATGTGAATCAGTAGCTTCAGCACATCCCGTGATCAACGACTTGTGCAGTCAGATCTTAATTTGCAATTTTACACCGCCTCGCCACTATGACCAGCTTGATCACGAACCTTAGTTTGACACGGATATTTCACACCTGTAAAGAGTTTTCACTCATTCGAGTTCTCGAAGAGAACCGCACTTTACAGTTGTGCTCGGGAAACGCGCCGGAAAACTCAGCATTCAGACAAGATCACAGGTGACGTGAGATGGGAAGCGCAGATTCGTTGCCTGAGAGGAGAGCCTGGCGTACGCAGGACCGAGCTGCATTTTGCGCTCTAGCGTTCAAATGGAAGCAACGGTAACTTAACGCTTCTCACTGACTGTGCAGGCACAGATGTTTTAAAATGTGCCTTGAGGTTCTGGTGGACAGAGATGAAGTTTCGTATTCCAGTTTGGGTGCGGCGGTCCAGTTTTCGCAACTTGGAGTTTAAAATGGGTCGAATCCGGGAGAAATCCGCTTTCTGTGCACTTTGAGCTACGTTTAAACCGTTTTCCCGTTCATCCTTCTAACTTAGTTTGTAAAATTGCACCCTTAAATGATGAATTATAACAATGTTACAGGAATTATTCACTAACCAGCATATTTTTGTGCAAGAATGAGTTCCCCCTAACTGAGCAGGGATCCACGCTTTGGTATGTACTAAGGCAAAACTAAATGTGTGCATATGTCGAGTCAGATAACGACATGACTTACAATTTTCAGCTGGCCTTCAAGAAGAAATGTTGTCCATGGCCTCAGGTGTTTGAGAATGTTGCTTCATTTTCGGGGCAATGGGAGAACGGAATGACTCCGTGCCGTCCTTCTCCACATCAAGGCTGGTTGCGGCTAGCCCGTTCCCAGGTCAGCGGCTGGCCGACCCGGCACCGGTGGCTGGCCGATCCGACACCGGCGGCTAGCCGACCCGGCACCGGCGGCTAGCCGACCCGGCACCGACTAGCCTATTCTGTAATATAATTGATGACTCACGGCTGATGCAGTCTTCGAATTGATGTTATTTTTGGGTGTGGAAAAGAGTATCTCTCCACACATTTTTAATGTGATCGAATCAATGAAAATTATCCCGGAGCCTCAGAAGAAGTCGGTTCGCGGAATCTTACTAAATTCCCCAAGGCCTGCCACGTTTTGGGGAGTTTTCTAAAGCCTCGCCAGACAGCGCAGCAGCCATCGGGTTGCTTGGACAGCATGTTGCTACCTAATGCTCCTTTTTACCTAAGGCTCCTTTTTTCTATTCATTTGAACTTTTTTCCGTTATATATAATCATATTTCCCTTACAGATAACCATTTTCCAGATAGGATTAAAGTTAACGCGGATGGTTTTGTTTAATTTCATAGTTTATGAGCGATCGAGTAAAAGTGAAAATCGTGTGTGAACAATTGGGGAGTTTGACTGTGAATTGAGGAGCAAAACTGGGGAGTTGGTGAGCTGTGGGAAAATGCGTACGCACGGTTTCCAGCCACCGATTTGGGATGCATAAATCTACTCCGTGAACAGTTTGGTCTCAGTTGCCGATTCTAAAATGTCTAACTTTAGAATCGGCAATTGAGACCAAAGTGTTAACGGAGTAGATTTATGCATCCCAAATCGGTGGCTGGAAACCGTGCGTACGGAAACCGTGCGTGCGGAACCGTGCGGATTTTCCCACATCTCACCAACTCTCCAGCCCTCCCCCGCTCACACATCTCACCAACTCCCCAGCCCTCCCCCGCTCAGCCAACCGCGGCGGCCAGACGAGCCACCGTCGGCTAGCTGACTGGTGAGCTGGAGGCACCCGTAGACGCACAGAGGACGCCTCACGAGCCCGAGCCCAGCGAACATCCGCCACGGCATCCGATTCCCAGTGGCACCCCGACTGCCGCGGGAGCAAAACGGATCATCCGCACATCACGCTGCCCCGAGAGAGGGAGGGGTTGATGAAGCGTGACCAAAGGGCAACTAGAAAAGGCTTGGGATACGTGACGCCACGCTTGGGCGTCCTTGGAAATGTACGCTTCAGACTTTTTAACGTTCAAAATGTAAAAGCCGGACGTCCGTGACCTCCCCCATGATGACGAAGATGTCCGTCTTTGTTTCGTACCTCTGCTTAACAAGGCCAAACGGATATTACGTTTGTAGGACGATACGCTTACACAGGGTAACCGGGAAGAGTGTTTTCGTCCACCGTAATCCGTGCGTGACCACGAGAGGGCCTTGGAAAAACCACCCAAGATGGATGGCAATTTAAAGACGGCCCCAAAGCGTAAATGTTTGGTGGGAGCCACTAAAATTTTCTTTGTATCATAAACGTACTGTCAGCATCCTTACTGGGATACCAGCCTGCGGAACCGACCTAAAGGGGCGTAAAAACTCTGTCATACGCTCTGCAAGGTATCGGTATGTTGATATTTACTGTGTAGACTACTTCTATTCGACGCTTGAGCATGAACATCAGTCTGTGACAGAATAGCATAGTAGTGCAGTAGGGCCTTTGTAATGTATGCCCACCCGGCTAATGCTGGGGGACGTGTCCCCTCCCCCCCCCCCCCCCCCGCCCCCAGTCTGAAAGTTGTGGCTGCTGTCTTGTATGAAATCATCCCTCCCTTGTTCCCATGCTTATGTGAGAGAGCCAACTTTGTCCCTTTTGGGCCCTGGTTTTAATTCGAGAACTTTTTTGAGCTTAATGTACCAATGTGATGCCTCACTGGGCTCTTTTAGAAGTATTCGAGCGTTTCAAGCTACGAAAAAAGTATTGGGGCCTTTGGTCCCAGGGGTCCCGCCACCTCTAGGGGCAGGGGCATGCCTTCATACTGGGAATCAGGAAAGGAAAAATGAATCTGTTCGAGGGCGGAGAGCTTTCCTCTCCAGATCCCACCAACCTTGATTAATATGTTCGCTGTCTGATCGGGGTTCCCGTACGGCTTGAAAGTGCCAGGCTGCGGATGTACGGAAACTGAACCTAGTATTCAATACGCCACGAAGAAAAATCGGACCCAGCAAACGTCATCCGTTGGTTGCACTCCAACCGGCCGGCCCGGCCAGTGACGTCACTCAGTGACGTCACTGCTACGCATGTCTTCTGCAATCCGCCGCGGGTACTTTGCAAGACACGCTGACTGACAGGGGCCTGC